TTTTTTTTTTTAACTGTATTTTTAAGTTTCACAAAAGAAACAGACATGTTTCATAACTCACATTTTCACATTATGTGCTGTCTAGGACAACCAATACCATAAAAATATTTTTCACTAATGTGTATTAATATAATAATACTATTTAATTCATCTTACAATTAGTCACACTGGTACTGAATTCTTTATAACCTGCTTGAGCCATTTTTCATATCCTGCTAGAATCTTTTAATCTTTAGCACAAATACGCCCAAATCCTGCCTTTATGGCTTCTTATTGCTGGGGATAAAAACTAATATCTGTCAAGTGCCTTTCATACACATGATGCAGAAGCACTTTGCCTGGGTTATCATTTTAACCCTCACAACAATTCTGCAGAGTACTTTATTCCCTCATTTTGCACTTGAGAAATCAGACTTCAGCTGCATAGCCAGTATGGCAATGCTGAGTTATGAACCAAATTCTGTCTAACTTCAGAGCTTAAGATCTTTCCATAACACAATGGCTAACAAATACTGAGGTTAGCAGATATTAGTTAAAACATAAAACCTAAATATGTATTTTGCTGTGTGTACATGTACCCTATGATTTATATGACATTTATTAGACATTATGAGTTATAATGATCTGCAGGCATCTGGACTCTGTTCTGAATTTGCCTTGGATAGTACCTAGCACTGGAAGTGCCAGGCTGGAAGCCAATTTCACCCACATCTGGATGTCTTCTAAGCAGCCTGAATGCTCATAATCTATGGATAAGCATAGGGGCCAAGAACTGCCAATTTCTTATTGCTTTATCTTGACAACATTGACTTGGGTGAGACATTGGCTGAACAGGAATAGAATAATGCTTGGCACATAATAAGCTCTTTATAAGAATCAACCATCACTGTCACTATTATTTTTTAAAGGACATTTTAACACTAAAAGAATAAATGTGGCATTATGAAAAACTAACTATATTGTCTTTGTCTACCAACGGAAATTTTATTTGGGACCTGCACTGACCTATGATTCAGCATTTGACCTAAATATAGTGTCAGTAACCATTACTCTTATTTATAAAAGTTTTCACTCATTGTGATGTATAGGGAGCTCACTAACTTCTTATAATAGTAATGTCTAGGAATTCCAAAAATAGAATCAGGCATTTTATTCTATCATTATCTTTGGAAATAAGTTCAACTTTTTCATAAGTAGCAGATGCACATTGAAAATGTCTGAATTGAATCTTAATAAGAATGAATTAATAAATAATTTAGCATCTAGCTTTTGTTTTATCAAATGTGCAGACATCTATATATATTATAATGCCTACACATGAAAATTATAGAATTTTCCCTGGTCTCCCCTGAAAGAATGAGGGGGGTGCCACAGGCTTCAACCACACCCTGA